ACAAGACACCTGCTCGCTGCCTCCCCTCATCCCCACCCTCACTACCAAACTATAGGCAGTCACTGGATATTAAAGTTATTACTGTTTTGAAAATCATGAAAACCATGTAAACATATTCTGGTACAACCCCTAAATAAAATTATGAACCTGAAAATGAGCATAATATACCACTTTAAACAAACCTTTGTTTATAGACATGTCTAATCATTATTTTGCAACCTTGCCAGACATCTATACATATTTTATTGAATCACTAGGTAGCTAAGTGTTGTCTGTGTATAATGACAGCCATGTTTAGTAATGCTGCTGTACTGCATGACTGTACTTCAGCACCCTCCTATTGAAGCTAGCCATCCATCAATAGCAACTGTCACCAGCATCATTTAGCTATTTACCAAACTGACAGTGAACATTCATGTATCTTATGTGCCTCAAATCACAGTGTGAAAACATTTTCGTTATTAATACAGTTGTTTCCCTTGTCTCATGTCTTTTAAACTCCACCCCCAAGTTTGTAATGCCAGCTTTCTGTTACAAATGTGAAGCAGAGTAGGGATTTCTGACACAATTTCACTTACTTCCAAGGTGTAACGAGAAGGTCTTCTGCAACACTTGTAGAATAAACAACTTTAACTTTATTGTGACACCAATGCATTTCAGCTTGTGGCCTTCACCAGGGTCATCATAACACAATCAAGCTGAACTTTATACTTCAAGTGTTAAACTAAAGAAACACCCTCCAACAGATCCAATAACATATATATACATATACATACATATATAAAACTTTTAATTTGGTTTTAATTTGCAAATCGATGCGTGTTAAAGCCCCTGAAAACTTGTATTTCTCTATAACATGACACATGCATGACTAAACAAGCAAACATTTAAAGTTCAAGTTTGGAAGAAAAGCATCCTTAGTTATCATGTACTCGCTCAAATACTAATCTGCTTCATCAGGACTGTGTGGGTGTTGTTTGATCAGATTTCACTTATAGTGCTTAGCTAACATTTGCAAACAAACCTCTGAACTGTCATCAGATCTTGATTCAAACTTTGATTGGTGCATGGAAATACAATACGGGACATCACCTTTTTTCCAAATGAGGAACTCCCTCTTCAAACCAGCAAGAAAAACAGTGAAGAAAATACAGAAATCTTTCATGTAAAATAACCAAAGAAACGTTGGCAGAAAAATGTCTGTTCATGTAGGGCCCCAGAAGCTGATTGAGAAAATGTGTTTTCAAGGCCTTTAAGCTTTCATATGTAGGCTGCTATTTTTACATCTTAATGAATCTTTAAATTCACTTAAAAACGCACCACTGTGTGTTGACGTGTTTTTGGATCTGTTAGACCCACACATATCCTGGAAACCTTTTTATGGACTGTATTTAAGGGTTGATAAAACACACAGCTATCCAGTTCCTAATTAAGAGGTTCTGACCAAGAAACAACATAACCTTTAAGGTATCAGCTCACTGCTGCTGCTGAGAAACCAATTGCAGAATATTTCAGATGTAGATAATGAAGCACATCCTTCAATTTGCATTTATTCCAGTGTTCAGATACTGTTGTTGCAGTATAGCTGATTCAACCATGTCATGCTGGACAGTTTTGTTTCCTCTTTTTGGCCACGTGCTAAACTCACTATTTTGTGTGACATTTTACAAGTAACGGAAAGATTTTATTTGTAACTTTTGACCCTGAACTCTTCATTTAAGTAACACCTGTCGACTTCAGAAGCAGGTGTCCAGTCTAGTGTCCTATTTTATTGCACGTTACCTGTTTTCTCTTTGTTAAACACACACACTGCCTGACATATATGGACATAATCACATGAATATGACACTGTCTTTTTTTTTTTACCTTGCAGTCAGTTGTATTCTTTTATCTTTATGGTGGATTTCCGGCACATTTGTCACCCACATCCTGTGCCTTGACAACCCACACAAGCTCTTATCTCTCTATCAGACACAACAGACACAACTCAGGCCACCCACTCTTCATGACACCAGATCCTTCTCTTTTCAGTGATATTTGGCCTTCAAACAGGTTCATTTCTTGCATGAGACTAAAATTTGTGGTTTTGTCTGATGTCTGTTCTGTGCACATGTGTAACAAATGCAGAAACTGTGTAAGAGTGCAACCAATCAACCGCTTCCTTATTTTTAACCAACAAGAACATCTACACTGATCCATTAATTTGACCAGAGGCACACCAGAAGCTGTGACACACGTCATGTTTGAGAAATAGCACTCTAGTCTGAGCTGTTTCACCACAGAGGCTCAACTTTGTCCAACAGGCCCTTCTGCTTCCTCTTCTCAAAGCTCATTTGTTATCACTGACAGGCAGTACCAGGACTGCAGCAGTATGATCAAGTCTTTGGTGTCTTTAAGTCTGCAGGTTCAGTGATCAAAGCTTCAAATGCATATATTTAGCTTTTAATGATTTCTGGTACCTTTAAAACAGTTCTCTTTATATGTCCAAAGACTATCACATGCATGGTTTGCAGGGCAAAACCGTCTGCACAGACAGAGAGAAATCTGTTTCTTTTGTGTTGGCTCGTTCACTGATGTACAAAACATTTGATGCTAATCAGTAGGAAGTGAAGGGACACAACAGGTTGGTACCAGGTGTTTACCAAAACAAAAAATGTGAGCAAAAAGAGTTAGAAATGCAGCCGTGATGTAGGCAATAAGGTCAATGAGCCAATAGGAGCATCTTTATAAAGAAATGTCATGTTGCAGAGTCCAAGAGAATGCACTGCTATAACATTGTCAGTTTCATGGTGGACAGTTTTTAAAAACGATGCAGCAGAACCAGAGATATTCTGTCTCCTAGTGAGATTTTCTTTTTTCAGTTTGGAGTTTGAAAAATTGTGTTGGAAAATCATGCCAGGTCACAGAGGAAATGGTCTTCACCTGATATTTTATTACTTTTATTTTTGGTTTTGTTTATTGCTACAATGATTGATAAAATGATTATTTGTTTGACGGAAAAATAATCAAGTAAAGAAAATAAAAAAATATGTTACGGCTGTATGTGTTTCTCTGTGCTTTCTCCATGTTCCTTTTCTGCCCTGGTTCTGCCTCTGAAGTACTTCAGCTGATTGCTGATCGAGGTCTACCTGGCCTTGGAAGGCAGTCTTTAAAAGCTCCTGTGCAAGTGTCAGAAAAGAGGCTTCTTGATTTGGGACTGCTGGCCTTGCTGCCTCTCAGCTGGGGCATTTTTGTGTTATGTTCTTGTGTTTTTGGTGTTCTTAATTTATCGTCTTGTTATGTTAATAAATTCCCTTGATTTGGTTGTTTTAAAGGTGTTTATCTGTGTTAAGTTTGGGTCGGTGTTACAGGGGTGTTGTTCAACCCCTGTTGCCACCAAAGGGTGGGGCGTAACAAAAACCACACATTTGCAGTTGCAATTTCTTAAACTTGAAAATTTGCCGCTTTTCTTGGCCTACATTGTCATAAATTGAATATTTTGGAGGTTTGGACATTTGATGATTTGATAGCTCTATAATTGGTTTCTTGTTTACTATTTTCTGATGTTTTATAGACAAAATTATTTAGCAGTTAATCTAATCAATATAAAAATAAATGACTGTTTGTTTGACTGAATGTTTGACTTAATATTGAATATTTGAAGATTTTCTTGCAGTATTTTTTTGGATACCAGTATGTTATTGTGTTGATTATATGAAGAGTTTTGAGAACGCAACAGCTTTTTAAGCATGCATTTTCAGTTTTTAGTATTTGAGTTGAACCTTTGTTTTCCAACATTTCATCAAAACATCAGAAAAACTGTGATCCAGCCTTTCTCAACATAATAAGAATTATCGTACATATTATCGTACACAAAGTCAAATTTAAGAAACTAAGAATGAATACAGAATAAGAAGCAGAAACTGATCTCTGCAGCTCATGCTCAAATGTACGACTGCACAGACAAAAGAAATTCACCACATAGTCTTTGAATCAACAGTGGTGTTTTAGCAATGGGGTGCCATCCAAACATTTGCAACAGTGTTAGTGACTAGCCATCCCCCTATACTAATCTCACACTGGCTTAATTGCTGTGCACCGACTGCACCCTCCTTGTTTGGGTCTTCTGTCTCTGTTAAATGGCCCTTTCACACATTGTTTTTAGTATACATTCATCTTGAATAATTATCCCCTCGTTATGCTTTCAGCCCATTCGCTCTAAACCCATGTTTCAAGCATCGGCAAGCTTGCATAACAATCACTTATGTCAGCGGCCTTTTCAGCCCCCGCCTCTCCTTAATGTGCCCACAACAGTCAGAGGAGAGCATGGAGAGGGCCCAGCTCGAACACATGGCCACATACCATCGCTCCCAATCATCAACACTCCTGACGCATCTGTGAATGAGCAGCAGAGGACAAAAGGGATCAACGCTTTAGAGCCAACAGAGAGAGTGACCACCATGACCTCATGGGTCAGCTGGGAGCCAAGAATGAAAAGACTCCAAGCAACCCCCGCCCAACACACACACACACAAAATAGTGAGCTCTCGGACAACTGAACCCGCCATGGGAATATGGGAGCGTGGAAGAGGAGGAATCAGCAATCATCTGCAAGAGCTGAAAGAAAGCGGTTGTGTTTGGAATTTTGGGTCATGCCTTTCTCCGCACATTCCTCACCATTTTTCCAACAATAAACTGTGTCATAGCCGATACAACAGCTTCCATTCGGGATACGTTGCACCACAAAAAATGCCTCAAACAATCCGAAGCCACATACTAGCCTGTAAAACTTTGGTGATAATATTCCTAAACGGAGGAAGAGTTGTGGAACTCTGAAGACTTACTATATTTAAAAGTATCACATGGAGTAGGACTCCACGGGGGAAATTACAAACAGAATGTTTGTACACTCGAGGTCTCAGCACTAATTTAAGTTTGGCAGCTACAATTCCCACATACAGTTGTGGCTTGAAGAACAAAATAGCTTTTCTGGTTCTGCACAAAATAATGAGCATATAATCTGAAGTTGCCACGTATTTTTATTTTTAGGAACCGTGACTTAGGCGGAAACAAATAACACAGGATCAAATCTGAATCATCTGAAGTAGATATAAAATGTATTTGCACTATCACAATGATGACGGGTCACTTATTCAGCGGTCAAAAGAAAAGTCTGAGCATGCAGTAAAAACAAACAAAAAAAATCCTTCAGTCTGTACAAAAACCTGACAGTTGTTAAAATAAATAAATAACTTAAAGAACAAAACAAATGAAAACAAAAGTTATGTACAGCTGTGAAACACTGAGGGCTACAGAACTTAGCCAAATTGTCATTGGTCTACCCATTCAAACATGGGGAGGTGCAACTGTAGCGCCATTACACTTTGGTCTCAGCCTTGTCACTCTTTTTTCTTTGGCAGTTTAGTTTGTCTCTGGTGCTATAAGTCTCTGGGTGTGTTCTCTTGTGAACTTTAGGTGAACAGCTTTGTTTGCTGCTCACAGTTTGCTCTCCTCCTCCTCCAGCGGTCGGTTCAAGCCCGGGATGAATTTGAGGAGTTGCCTGCGGAAGCTTTTCTGTTTGGGCTTCTTCTGCAGGGAGTTAAATCCTCCCTGCTTCTCCCCCGAAGTGGACGATGGCAACGATGAAGAAGATCCCCTGGTGTAGCTGCGTGTGCTTGCGCTGCGGGTCAGATGCGTTTTGGCCGTCGTGAAGAGCTCGCTGGCCGGTCGGAGACGTTGCTGCCTCTGCGGCTGCTGCTGCTCTTTCTTTTTCTCTGTTCTGGTGTGGTCGATGGAATCCAAGCCACCGTCTACCGGGTACAGGCAGGTCTGGTAGAGAGGGTCGTCCTCGGTGGCTGTGCTGAGAAGGCTGGCGCTGCTGCTGGTGCTGCCGGCGCAGCGGATGGCTCTCTGAGCGACAGGGCTGGGAGTGCCGAGGCTGCCATACACGCCTGCTGACTCCAGGGACTCGTACACTGCAGCATCACTCATTACTATGCCTACAGGAAAGAAGGGCGGAGTTAGGATAGTGGACTACCACTAATTAAACTATGTTGTATCACTGAACACACAGGCATACAGAAAGAACAACTGAAACCCGGAGTATAGGGCATTTCTTGGAGAACGTGTGCATTGTTTTTTTTATGTTTTAAGTGTTTGTTTTATCAGCTATGAATTGTATCACCTCTCAGACACACAAAAAACCAGATCTGGAATCTGGACACTTTGATATGTTTTAATAGTTTTATTGTTTGTTTCGTATGTATAAAAGCAGTGTTGACACTGAGTGGATTATCCTAATAAAATAAAGTCAACGGAATTCACAAGACACACAAAACGACCTACCGTGAACAAGCCTCTGCTCCTGCACCATCAACGACCGATATTCATCCCACTTCTCATGAAGAGTTTGCTACAAAAGGAAGACAGAGATATGTTAAATGATTGTGACAAGAAGACCACAACGTACAGGCAGCAGAATTCATGAAAGAGGACTGTGATGTTACTTGTTTCCAATTAAAAACAATGCTTAGAAAAAAAGGTGGGACATATTTATTTAAGCTGTAAATTGTCAGCTTATGTATAAAACAGAGATATTTGGCATTTTGACATGTAATTTATCAAAACAACAAAGACTAAAAACCCAAATTATCTGTGCTCCCACTGCAGGGACAATAGGCAAATAAATGCTAAAAATGCTTATAAATAAATAAATTTATTATTATTAATTATTATTATTATTAAACTACTAATGGGAATATTCTCAGTAGTAAATGTGAAACAGTGCTGATAAATAGCAAAAACTAAAAAGGACGATGACGCATCAGAGGAAATTTCCTAAATACCACTGACAGACAGACATGCAACTTAATGTGTATGATTGAACATGTTTTTGTCATGGTGATTGAGGTAGAACTTTTCCAGTCAGTGTTCTAGTTCTTTGTCCAATGAGAATGTCTACCAACCCTTTCATCTCCAGCAAGTCAAATGCAGCGTGTTCAGCGGCAGGATAATCTTTAGAAATGTTGGATTAGTATCTCAGAAAGCGGCTGTGTTTCAGCTCTCTCTCTCACACACATACACACACACGGATTACAGTGGGACAGCTGCTGTAATCTTGGGGGAAAAGCGTGCTCACTTGAGCCACTTCATAGGCAGCTTTTAAAAAACAGCCTCTGGTCAAGAATGTCTGCAGCCATCAGTGAGCCTGCCAGAAAAACTGCTGATGCAACAGGTGGTGCTGCTGGAGAGACAGGTGGGGAGGGAGTGGGAGGTGGTGTCTATATCTAGCATGTAACATAATGTGTGTGTGTGTGTGTGTGTGGGTGGGTGGGTGTGTGGGTGGGTGAGGCTGGTGGACACACAATGAGGCTGACTCACTGCTGACAAACAGTGAAAAACGGCTGCAGCAACACCTAAAAGGAAATAACTCACCTTCAGATACTGCAGCCGGGCTTCCAGCTCTGCTTTTCGGATTGAGTCACTGTAAACTGTCTCCAGCCTGTAAGTGTAAAACCAGAAGGAAACAGAATTAATAATTGTAAAGGGAAGCGCTTATAAAAACTACAAGGGCAGAAAACAGTGGTTGAAAAACAAGTTCGACCATATGAAAGGCTCTTTTCATAAGACGGTGGCAGGAAGGGGTCGGGTGTGAAACAGTTTACAAGAGAGGGGGGAAGGATAAGGAACGTATACATTTTCCACTCAAGATACTTCAGTGAGGCAAATCCTTTGAATCACAGGAGTGGGTGACCAACTTATAGAGCTTGTTTTCACTTTATTTATAAGTTTATATAGACTTAAGATGTAAGTATAATTTGATGATGTCAGTCCATAAAATCTGTGCCTGCAATTTCACTCTGATGCGGTTCACCTCACTTCTTTCGCAGCAGCTCTCAAAAAGTTTACAGACGGAGCCTCACTAATTGTCCTTTTAATCATTTACGAGCACAGGACAAGGATAAGGAAGAGAGCATGGTTCCGATTAAACACCCACCCAGGCACTCAACTGCCAGATATCAAAACCTTAACACTGATGTTCAAAATACTTAAGCTATGGATGACAAAACTATTTCAACTCAATAACATGGTGTAAAAAAAAATCATAATCGCTTGCCTGTTATTTTTAAACTTTTAAGCTGTAAGTATGCTTCATCAGAACTGCTTCTCAGATGGTCGAACAACTTCTGAAACACCCTCCCCCCACACCTTTTGTATTGGGCGGAGGTCTGTGTTGCCAGACAACACGTCGTACCAACCAGTTCTTTCCAAGCATAACTTGGCCTTAGTCTTTGAAATGTTAGAAAATTGCAAAAAATGTCCATCTCAGTTTCCCAGAGCCTGAGGTAACATCTTCCATTTGGCAGCTTTGTACAACCAACAGCCCAAAACACAAATATATGCATTTAACAATGTTTTAGGATAAAAAATAGCAGCAAGTTCTCACGTTTAAAAAGCTGTTTAGGTTGTTTTTTTCTAAGTTAATAACTTAAATCAGAAGTTCTCAAATGTTTTACGTCATCCCCCCACTGAAATTGCTTTAAACCAAATCAACATTTTTGGGAAAGCTGAATCACAGACTTCATTCATTCACATCATTTAATTTAAATATTAACATAATAACACATATAACTATAACTAAAAAAACTTTTCTTAACTTTTAGACACAGGAGACAACTTCAATGACAGTGATGTTGAGAACAAGTCATTTACATTTCCAGTCAGACTTTTTGCACAGATATGTCCCTCTTCACATGTTATGTTGCCCTCTGAATAAATATTTCTAACCTGACTTTATGATAGGCTTGTTAGCATCAGAGCACTCTTGTTCACTGAGTTGAACAATTAAGGGATTATCAAAATTGCTTCTAAATTTCTGTCAAATCAAGTTCAGCGCTAGAATACACTGAATATGTTAATGAAATAAAAACCTGAGAAGCATAACTAACATAGTTATAGGTTTCTAAACATCCACGTCTTTTTTATTTTCTGTGAGTCTGTGTACCTGAGTGTGTTGCCGCAGGCCCTTATGAGCTGAACGATGTCCTTGTGCCGAAATCCCTCCACAGTGGCCTCGTTCACACTTGCGATGGTGTCCCCTACACACACACACACACACACACACACAATGTGTGTTAACCAGCAGCCATCAGGTCAGGATGCACTTCAATACACTGTGGCTTTAATTACTGCATTATTACTCATTACTACAAGCTGCAGCCAAATGTGGCTCATCTGGTTCTAAATGAAACCTCAACATGCAGATGTGCAACACAAATGTGGAAGGCACGCATGTGCAGTCGTGGCATATGGCTTGTCACTGAACTGGAGTCGACTGATTGGAAAAGAGACTTATTTCAAGTGTTAAAGCCATATACATTTGTTTATGTATGAGAGTCACACCATTTCACTTCACAGTATTATTATTATTAGATGTGGTGTGAACTCTCATGCGTGACAGCAGCCTTTGTGAGGCTTCAGCACAAAAGCCTATTTTCCTTTTTCAAAAACCACCGCCTAATCTGTCTCATGCGATGAAGTCACTGCGTTCGCAGCAAGACACAGGGAACAATGGGGCAAGCATGCGAGGAATGTAGGAAGTGAAACTGAAGTGACATATGCAGGTTGGATGGAGGCGGGAGCAACTGAATCGTCTTCCTCTTTCCATTTTTTTTTTTATATAAGGCTCAGAGCGGCCGGCTTGTGACTGAGACATCATGAGTTTGAAAACCAGAGACAATTTAAGCAAAGTGAATAACCGCAGTAGCGCTCTTTAGAATAACATCAAGCACAGAACTTCTTCTCTTCTCACTTTGATAATTATTATCTTTCACTGATAAAAACATAATTGCATGTGCTGGTTCATTAACACTTCATTTCTATCGTTCGGAACTTTTTGTTTTTTTTAAAGGACCCAAACGGAAATGAGCCATGTTTTGCCAAATAAAAATAACATTTCCCTTTCAAACTGGCATTTGAGATGTTGTCTTTGCCTTTCTCTATCTGGCACATTGATGAGAGGAGATGGCAAATACTGAAATAGCCCCTCACTTGGTTGCCGTTGACTGGAAAATGAGTGTCATATTTGCACTTCCCCAAACAGCCAGCTCAAACACACGAGTGCTTTTGTTGATGGACGGTACACCAGTGTCAGATGGCAAACACAAAAGAGGATAAGCACGACCAAAACGAGGCTCTCTTCCCCTCATGACTATTAGGAGTGTTTTCCAGGGTTATTTCAGGCTCAAATAAAAATACACAAACTCACCAACTTTAAGTCCTGCTTGCTGGGCCGGGCTGTCATCGTGTACCTTACACACGAACGTGCACATCTCCACCGAGTTTTGGTCTTGATGGTGCAGGCCGTAAGTCTGAAAGACATAGAATGACCAAACTGAAAAAACAGTAACAGAAAAACACTTTGTAAATACTTCCTTACTCTTCTGTGGAAATTGTCTTATACAATGTGATTGACGTCACCAGTTTTGAAATCATGTAGCCATACTATGCAACACCGATAAACTACTGAATGACAAGCTGAGGAAGCCATGGCAGACAATACAGGAAAGCAGATTGAATCACTGAACACGCAGAGATGTGATGCAAACATGTACAAGTAAGAGTTTGTTTCTTTAGTCTTTAACAGTACCAACATGCCCATATGTGCATTGAAAGGTTTTTTGGTTGCTGTAAATTGTTCCTTACCTTTATTGTAAGAGATCAGGGACAAAAATCCTCTGTTCTGTGCAAAAATACACTCCAAAGTTGCATAAATGACTCATTAAGTTCAGCAGACGGAGCTAGTCACATCGTATTGAATATATATCAGTTAAAAAAAAATCCCTTTTAGTACAAAAATCCCTCTGTCGCACTCCAACAAGAAAACACCGTCCAGAGAAACACAAAGAGGGAATTTCATACCAAAAGAACTGTCGAACTCAGATGGCAGAAGCCTCATATTTTCTTTAACTTAATGTATTTTTGCACAGAAAGAGAACTGTGGATTGTGTCCCCCATCTATTAAATTTAAATCGCTTCAGGATGGAGGAAGGAGGAGGAAAAATGACAGCGACCGCTTTAATGTATATACATATAGGCAGGTCAGTATGGTTTTAAGACCTTTGAAACCTGCCACTTGCTGACAGCAGTTAAGTTTAAAAATGGGAAACATTGTTGTGAGATAATCTATATCTGTGTCTTTATTTTGTATCTAAAATTTTGTTGTCCTGGAAACTGTTGTTGGTACTTCCACATGTATTGTTTTAGTCACCGCAGTCTCTTTGCAGAACGTCAGAGCACTGCAGGCACAACAGACAGACTTCCCCTTGTCATGCAATTATCAGTCAGTCAACATACTGCTGCTGAGGGAGCCTGAAACTGCGGGCCTTTCCCTCAACAAACAGGTCAGAGACACTCTCACTCGTAAAAAGTTACCAAGGTTTCCATCTGTCTAAGTCAAGTGTTAAAACTATTAAAACACAAATCGAAACTGGATGAGTCTCTTATGGAAATATGCAATGATATAAATCTGCCTGCCTGTTCTTGCTGCCGGCTCAATATGAGCTTCCTTCTCAGCAGCCTGAAAGATAAACACATAACCGTGCAAAGATCGTTGAAATGCAAATATCACATTTACATAGTGGATCTTCAGCTCCACATCCGTGTAAATTTAAACAGGCACCGAGGGAGGAAGAACCATCAGGCAACACAAGAATCCTAAAACTAAAAAAAACTAAAAAAAAACTGGCCCTCAAGATCTCACTTCCTTCTAGCACGCAGGCCAACAGGAAGGGCGGGCATCTCCATCAAAACCGTAAATAGAACAATATGTCTTTTGCTCAATGCAGTACACACCACTTGCAGAAACTGTAACTGGCCAACAGAGTATTAAAATATCCACATTACTGTAAAAAAAAAAAAAAAGGACACTCAAATCAACATTTCTAACTATTTAAAGAATAGGGTCTGAGAGCTGACATTGTAAGGAAGCGCTTTGGGGTGGAATGACGGTATTGAGGTCAAATGTGGGAAGCGTCTGCCTGCTGAGCGGGTGAGAAAGTGAAGCAGGTATTACATGGGAAGCGTGTGAGCAAACCACATGGCTTAAAATAAACAGACGCTGGGAGAAAAAAAAAAGGCTGCTCTTCTCTCCTACATCATGGGACTAACATCAACGGGTTATTTGGCTGATGCGTGACCTTTCAACCTTACCGGCACAGGCTCGGATTTAGAGATTTACAGGATAAGATGTACACGCTTCAGTCACTCAAGTATCATAATCTGTTGACAGGGATGTGGACGATCAGGGAAATCCTTTTAAATAGCACTTGAGAGGTTAAGACCCCCTCACTCCCTACCACCACCACCAATATATCGCTATTATCATCTTACCTGGATCTCAAATCCAAATGACTCCTCTTCCTTTTTCTCCAGGACCACCACCTTTCTGGAAAAAAGAAAGAGATTTTTGTTTTAACAAACTCTTTACTGTTGCCATCACAACTTCTTTTATATCCTCTTTTTTAGCCGTACCTTGTAATACACTAGTAAGAGTCAAGACAAGGGGGGAAAAAGCACAAAAGTCATGTAATCAATGCAGCGCTGAAGCGATTAGTCAAGTTATCAGCAACCATTTGGATACTGATTAGTCGTTTTATTCATTTTTCAAGCAAAGTGCTAAATATTCACATGTGTCAGCTTTTCAAATGTGAGGATTTTCAGCTTTTTGTCTGATTTATGGGATTGTAAATGGATTATTCTGGGGGTTTGAACAATTGGTTGGACAAAATTCACTGAAACTCTATAAGATAAGATTTTATGGTAGACATTTTTCACTGTTTTCTGGTGTTATGGTCAGACTTCAGTCCATTTAAAGCCAAGGAATATGGGATTTTATACTATATCTGTCATCTTTTAGGCTAACAGTAATGATAAGATCAACAAGATGTTTACGTCCAACTCTGGATTCCTTTTTTCCATGTGCGTCCTTATCTAAATTGCATAACAATTTATCTCTGCTGGCTGCACAGAACTTCTTCTGTGCTGTCCAGCAGCATCTGGACGTCACTGCTAAACATAAAGTACAAGGGTCTGTTGGACTGAGGGACGTCAACCCAGCATCTCTCATGCAGGGGCAGCACATGAAAGATTCATAACAGCCCTCGCGAATATTGTCAATAAGAATGGCTTCTATAGTTACAGATCACTGTTTGAATGAGGGCCTTTCACTTTGAGATGAGGCTGCTCACTTCTAAAGATTTTAGAAGGAGGATGTGGCCGTGAAATGATTAGCGTGAAGATAAGGTTGAAAGATTATACAAGGACAAACGTCAGCAAATGACAAGGTACCTTTGTGGTTCTGGTGACTGTGTTAGGGGTTTCCACTTCTGTAGCCCAGCACCCTGCAAGGAGAAAACGAAACAAGACATGGACCGTGTCAAACACCTGCATGATGTGAATGCAGGATTACTCATGAGGGGTTCCCCTCCCATGCCCAATATTCCCCTACCACACCTACTGTACACATCGGTGCGTCGACCTGTCCAGCGAGTCTTAACGCCGCGCACATGTGCCTGGTTTGTATTTTTACGCTACTTAACCATTATACCGGGAGGAAAACATCAGCAGTGAAACCAGAAATGCATGTCTGGCTGCTCTTTGTTTATAGGCAGTCACAACATCAGAAGAAAACCTCAGAGCACCAACATTTAGCCTAACTTTCACACAAAATCAGCTGCCTCCAGACACTAAAACTCTTGACCTATCTGAAACTTTAAATCATTTCGAGCAGTTTGTACAAATTCCAGCCCATTAAAGAAACAAACAAGACGCAGTGGTGAACAGTGGGCTGAAATAACAGCCACAATAACTGCTTTGAGGGATAACCCAAGTCAACAGTAGGTCAGGACTGTGCCCTACCTGACTGTGTAAATAAGGAAGGCATCTAACCAGAAGGCTCCACTAAATCACTTACAATCAATCCTCATCTGTTCCAACCCAATCATATTCAAATGCTGCTCCTATGAAAGGCTGCTTTGTGCTACAGTCTCTCTTGGTAGTAAAATGTTGCTTTCTTTAAGTCCCAACACTTACAGAATTGTCCCGCAGCTGACTCAATGGAGTGCATTTATTCCCTGAGAGCGACGGGGGCGGCTCGAGTATGATCTCCACGCCTGTGTGTGCACAATGCACTGTTGTAGCCCTTCACTCCAGCTACTGCACATTATGTGGATAACAGTACACTGTTGTACATGTCTGTTTTAAACTGGTTTCCAATTGGGATGTCCAACTCCAAAGGAAGTAACATTACAGAACTGAATCAAATGAGCCTTATGAGAGACCCACTAGCCCTGTCATAACTTTAAGACAGTATTATGCAACACCGGCTAAAGCTGATGTCATTCTTGATCATCAGAGAAGAGATCCTGTTCTTCAATTATGGTTGAACTGAAACCAGCTTAACATGTTGTTATCAGGTTCAAACGTTTGATTTGTTTATCGTAGTCTTCAGTGTGCTTTTATTTTGAAATGAAAAAAATTAAAAGTAGTTACTCTGATGTAAAATCTATTTTACCTAATACTAAAATTTTAAATGAATGACTTGTTGCTGATAATTTAGATTTGTCAACTTAAGAAGTACAGTACAGGACACTGACACACAGCATAGATCAGATTTAGCATGGTCCAAACTACTGTTGCCTTTCAGTGAGATGCCCTCTGCAGATACACCGAACAGCTTCCAGCAGAGGTTCCCAAACATTTTCAGATCAGGAATCACCAGAAAGATTGAGTACACTGCATCCCACAGAATCCCTACAGATGTTTGGCTTTTAGATAAGGCAATACTTAATAAGGCATGTTGTTGTTTGGCCATACTTAAAATTATCTCCTCCTTTTGGCAGGTGAAATAATCAGAAAAGTCTAAAAAAGATGTTCATTTGGCTGAAAATCCACTGTCCAAAACCAGAATTGAACATGATGTTTTGCTAATGAGATAACACTCTAGAGTGGAAAAACTTGATGTTAAGCAAGTTTAAAAGGTCTTGTGTGAACAATTAAAACTTAATGTAAATCCTACACATAACTTTAAGAGTGCAGTGTAGTGCAACAACTACAATTTAGATACAGAAAATATTCACAACTTAAAGTTAAAAAGAATCAATGAATGAGGACACAAGAAAGAATAAATTACACTGACTTTATAAACTTATGACACAAAGTGTTAAATGGACTTCTTACCTTTTTGAAGTTTCTGGGCAGCGTCCCCCCAGAGTAAGCCAAAGTCTTGTAGTTGTAAACGTCCGAGGAGTTTGTCGGTAAGTCCACAGTCCTGCAGCTGTCGGACTTTGACGAGGTGAAATAAATGTCGTTGTCTTGAGATGCGGGTCCACCTTCATGTCCGCTGGAGTTCACCTTCTTCAGCCTTCTGAACGTCATGTTGAGTTCATAAACGAGGTGGAAAGTTGTTGCGGATAGGAACAAAAGTACACGCGTCTTGCTGTTGAGAAACCAGACGAGACTGATGCTGACCAACTTGTGAGCTCCAGCGTGAGCCAACTACATTGTCACTTCACAGCGTTTCTGGGGGTGGGCGGGGAATTTGTTGTGACACAAGTGAGTGCCAATAGCGATGTTGACGTGCATCCTCTATGCTGCCTTTAAGTGCACATCGGATATTTGTGTTTCCCATTTCGGAAAGCTGAACGTGAGGCGATGTGGCTGTAGTAGTAAATGCATAAAAAAAAGTTGTGGTTTTATTTTAGAAATGAGTAGCACAAGGCAAGTAGTCAATGCAGTAGGCTAGCTGATTACTTGGTTAGTCACTGGAAAATGATTTGGCAACTATATGGATAACTGATTAATTGTTTTCATCGTTTCAGTATTTTTTCAAGCAACAATGCCAAACATCACTGGTGTCATCTTCTCAAATGTGAGGATGTTCTGCGTTTCTCTGTTTTGTAACCTTTTGTAATTGTAGCCTGAATATTTTGGGAGTTTGGGATATCACATTGATCTTTAAGAAATTGTGCTGGATATGTATCACTATGACTGGTTGTTTGTCTATGTGTGGCCCTGTGATGGACTGGCGACCTATCCAAGGTGTACCCAGCCTTTCACCCAGTGTCAGCTGGGATTGGCTCCAGCCCCCCTGTGACCCCGTAGGCAGGATAAGCAGTTTACGATGGATGTATCACTATGAACAAACATTTTATGCACCAAATGATTAATCAATAAGATCATTTGCTGATTAATCGATAATGTTAATAAGTAGTTTCAGGCCTAAATCAGTGTTTATTTCACAACTTGTTTCTTCTTGTTACTTCTCTTCTCTTGGTTGTTTGACCTTGACTGTGCAGAATGAGGTTTGTGCAGAAGCTGATGATGATGAAGGTGTACATAAGACACGAGTTTGGAAGCCAGTCACTGTCCAATATGCAACCTATGCCTTACTAAAGTGTTAAGTGGAAATTTGAAGCTTTCTGTACATACACTGAGAATAGACATTTCAGTTTGTTTAAATTGGGAAATTTTTACATATTAGTTTCAGGACTTTTCATTGTGGGGGCATGATAAGATGCAATTTTAAAATTGTGTAAGTAGCTGTTGGTTGAAAAGACAAATGAAACATGTCCTTAGGGGATCATTATGGGTTTTCTATATATATACACACTTTACTGAAACTGAGCTGTTCTCAGGCACATGTGTGGCATAATTCTTTAAGATGGTGTCATTTATCTGATATGCAAACAGTTGTTTAAATTACTCTGACCAGCAGCTGTTGGCAAATTTTCCAAACATACAGTTTGCGGTCTAGTCTGTAATCCTGATTTGTCCAACAGCATCTGAAGGCAACATTTGTTGCTAGCAGACCAACCTCTCACTAAAAGTTAGGGGTAATATTACTCAGAACAAACTACTATTTGTTCTAAGCTCATATCCTCTTTTTGGCAACAAAGAGATTACGTTGTACAATTACAAGTTAAGTCTGAAATAAGCAGAGACAACAATTATTTTGAGTCAGTGGACCAGCTCATGTTGCAGCCATCTGTGGCCACAGACTAAATAGTGGAGGACGCCCCCTTGTGGTAGAAAAATAATGTACCAGATATTGAATGAAGCATTAGTTCAACAGGCAAGTTTATCTAAAAGTTAAACAAACAAGTATATCAGACACTTTGGTCCAGATGGTTTATTAAAATCTTTACACTGGCATAGGCATATTACATTAACATCTTTCACATGAAATGATATAATTGATAAAGCAATTAAATAAGAATTACATATGTTTAAACCGACCTGAACCAAATTAGAAGTGAACATATCACAGCGTTCTACGCTAAATAAGTACAGCAAAAGGCTTTCTGTCCTCACATACACACACACACACACACACACACACACACACACACACACACACACACACACAGGAACAGCAGAGTGGGCTGACCGCTGCAGTGGATCAACGAGCAACCCTTTAGGCAATGATTGTCCTATTACTGTTCCCCAAAACACTTTCAAGTATCTTCTGAAATGTAAGAAATAAAAAGTTTAATTACATCTACAATCTGAAATGTAATCTCATCTATCCTTCGTTTTTGGTTCCAACTTGACAAGAACATGTATCATACAGCATCTTTACAACCACACACAAAAAAAACAGCAATACTACATGGTTTATGTCCAACAAGCATGCCTATGAACACTCTGTATGTACTCTACCTAAGCCATAACCATAGAGAACAGATTTTAAAGGCACATGAAGCTGAATTGTCTTCTTTTAGTATGATATTCCCTTTACATTAACCTTACTTTAAGTTCCTTTCGGAGCAGCACTTCCACTTACTGTGAAGCATTACAACAGATGCAGCAAGAGTGATGAGTATTGATAAAAACATAAATCAATAAATTTGGTCAAAATCATTTTGTCATTATGAAAACATATCTCTCCTTCTTGTATTCATACAGTGCTATGCTTCGGTTATGTGTTACAGACATGCATAAGTGTCAGTTCTCTATATACAATAAACTAGTAGAAGTCCGTTTTATTTGTAGTTGAAAAAACCAGATGATTTGGCCTGTGGAGCCATCAACATATTGGCTTGATTCTTGTGTGTGATGTAAATCTGAAAAGGAAATAAATAAAATGCAAAATGTCCAGTAAATTACAATATAAACAAAACATGAGCAAAGAATCTACTCATTTAATTGATGGCAGGAACAGTTGCTTTACATACATTGAATTTATGGTCTGCCCTAAAGAACAAACTGTGTCTGTGTGGTATTTACCGTGCAGGGAGGCTGCATCCACGGCTCTCCATCTATCTGCATTGGTAATGCTTTCTTCGTCCTGCGGGTAAAGTAGAGGGGGATCAAAAGTGCATCAGTAAACAAAATCGATGACCCTAATGTGCAATTAACATACCAAAAGGAAAGCCAACATACGTAATTATGGTTATGTAAACGATCAGTTAAGTATCATCCTCAGGTGGTGATCACACTCAACAACAAGCCATTCTCAAGACTTTGAGACCAAAGCTTTGACAAGTCTGAACATGTCTGTGTGGCAGTTTCTCACTTGATGGTGATCTGTGATGTTTTAGCGAGCCTCACAGCGCTCTTGAGGCCCGTGTATATCTGACCCATCTCCATGGCTCCTTCAAGGCCGACCACCTCTAACCGCCGGTCACTGAGATCTGACAACAACACATGGACATACTGAATATCCAGTGCACATAGGGGGAACATCGTTTGAGACAGTCTGAGACAAATATCAGTCCTTATATTTATTCTGCATCAGGTACAGATACAACATGATTTTGTTATTTTAATAACAAAATCATGTTGTACACAAACTGGATTACATACAAAAATTACTGGATACATTTATGCTGACTCTAAAACTACATCTGTCATAAATCAAAGAAAATCTGCTGAACATTTTTAATGGATGACATGACTATGGTGGATCACTTAGATGTCTCACTTGTGTGTGAACGTTTTTTCCAGCAGCATCAAGCAGCTCGTTTCAATACAAAAAGCTCAAATAAATGTTTAAGAAGTTGCCTTATAAATGTGAAAGGTCTCAGTTGTGTTTACAACTTGTTTCTGCTGCCCTCAAGTGGCCAGGAGCATCAGTTATTGCAGGTTTAAATACCAGGACATACACAATCATATCAAACCAGTTTCATTCAATGCATTTACTAATTTGTGCAGATTAATTTCTTAAAGCTTCATTAATTGATATTTTTGGCCACTTGGGATCAGCTGATCAAGCAGAAAACACAACATCAGACATATAAAGTTGTTCAGTCAAACGTTTTAGCAAAGAGTTGCCTATTTACAGACCCAGCAGACACAGAGCAACATTATCATTTATTTTGGGTCCTGTTTGTGACGAATGTTCACTCTTCTTTTAAGGTCTGTGATGGTCCTCGTCAGGTAGTGTACAAGTGTGTTTATCAGGGCCTCTCTGCTAAAAAGAATGAGCTGAAAGAAGTTGAAGAAGACTGAGGGAAACTGCAGAGTTCTGGGTTCATCCCTACAAGCGACCCCTTTGTAATTACACAAAATAACTTGATCTATTGTTAATATGAAAAATATTGATCGTGGCAGCTTTAAATCAGATTTCATATGATCTCATATGCATCCCAGTCTAACATCACCATTCAGTCAAGATGAGGTCAAAGACAAAATAATAAATACCTTGGGAGGTTAATTTCAGGATTTCTGGGTCAATGATGACCTTAGGCTCTTCCTGACTCGTCAGTCCCTTAGTGTCCCCTTTTTTGGTCTCACCCCATAAGTTGGAGCCCCCATGCATGCTGGGAATGTTAAGGACAGCAACCCCTTCTAAAGACAGGCCACTAAGATCCAGCGGAGTACCAGAGCACTAAAGAAGAAACACCAGCAGGCCACAGAGACAATGTAAAGTGTGAGAACAGGTTTTTTTTTCACGCTACAGAAACAGTTCAAAGACAAAATACAAAATGCATGCTTGCAATACTGCGTTCTCACCTCGATTGTAAGGCTTTCGTTCAGTTTCTTGCAGGAAGCAGAGATGGTTTCTGAAGTGGCAAATTCGAAATACCACAGCTTGTTCTTCATTCTGCAGTCACAAAAAGAGTGTTTTTTTTCAGTTTTAAGTGATATTTCATTTTCACAGAACAGTCTGCTTTTAGCCCGCACAGCTCTTCAGAAGGAGGAGTCAAGATGCACCACTTGCTGCCACAGACATCTGCTGTTACCACCTGCATTCAGTTTTTTTTCAGCTTCAGAAAATCAGTTCCTGTAAACATAAATTAAAACTGAACAGAAACAGAAAATTGGAACAGCATTCCCCAGGTCTGTTTTGTGGTAGTACAATACAAGTATGATTTTAAAACTGTGTTGTATGTTATTACTAAGAGTGGGGTATTTGCTGTTTGTTTGCTGTTCCCAAAGAAGAGCTCTAGAGACTAGAGAATATGTTCAACAAAAGAGTTTACCTGCTGTTGAATTTCTGGGGATGTTTCTCCCTCATTGTGTGAAACCGGTGGGCAATGGAAGCATCCTGTTAACACAATACAACACAGACGTTATGTAAACACAAAAGTGATAAATACACACTTCCTCAAATGTGATATATTTCTAACAAACTCACAACGCCAATAGAGAAGTAGTTGTTGATGATTTCATATGGCACTGGGTCACCCTTCTCCTGATTCTCATCTGTGATGACCTGCACACTCCAGCGGTCCATCAGCACCTGAGAGCTCCCCTCGATGTCTTTAAGAATACGACTCAGGTCCTCACCGTCGTATCCTTCAAAAAGGCAACAAACGCGATCATGTGCACAAATGTAGAGAGAACTTCTCTTTTACTGAAGAACATTCAAAACAAACACATACAGCAACAGAGCATATGCAGCAAACCGATTCATTATTTCCACAATAAGGAAACGCTACAATTGTCATTAATGTCTCACCTCCTCCCCATCGGAGACATCGTGCAAGGTCATTTCCTGTGCCCAGAGGAAGCACAGCGACAGGTGGCCGTACCAGCAGATTGGCTTTGTCTGATTGCATGAAAAGGAAATGCGTCACAATGATTTTCACGAGAAGCTCATGGTGTGAAAGCTAATGTGTGCCTTTTATAGTGCTTAATCCGACAATCTCACCTATTGCATCTAGAATCCAGCCAACTGTGCCATCTCCCCCGCACACCAAGATCCTGTAGTCCTGCAAATTTCTGAAGAAACTCAGTCTGAAAGAAAGATGATGGGAATTGAAAGAGCAGAGCATGGTACAGAGCTTAAAGAAGTATGTGGGGAAATGTGGTCTAAGATGATCTAATATTTATGCCTGCGTATTGTAAAATAAAATCTATTTCCATTTGACCATAATCTGTTGTAACAATTACTCACCCTGGTCCAGGTCCACCATTAGAAAGGTTGTATACCTGCCGTGGATTCAGTAAATACTGAAATTTATGCAGGACTCTGAAATACATAAAACCAGGCTAAACAAAGTGCATGTATGAGATATCTATTTCTTTATGAGCTTTCTTTTTTAGACTCACTTTTCTCCCTGCTTGCCACCGCTTTTAGGGTTGACAAACACTAGAAGAGGATGGGTGTTTGGCACAGCGCTGATCTGTTGAATGATAAACAAATTATAGTTATGAAACAAAAATATTTAACCTACTCAGATGTCAGATATTGCAGATATTCAGCATTGATAAAAAGCCTTAATTGGGGAGAATAATACCTGAAGCACTTGTCCATCAGGAGTGGTATTGAGCTCGCTGTCATCGGCTGAGCAGCCATTCTTTACATTGTTTGGTCTCTCCTTTAGGGACCAAAACAAAGGCATAGAGTGAATAAACATGAGAAAATGTAACAGCCTTTTTGTGCCTTTTGAGGACAAAGAAAAATCTGTACACACTGTACCTGTCAAAATGCCACACAGGTGAGAAGGGTTTACAACAAGAAGAAACAGCCCACGGCTGATGTTATTTTCTGCGTTGGTGTGACAGGCACTGTTTGTACTCTACATGTGCGCGAGATGTGCCAGCAGGCAATTCTGTACCTTTATAACAGGATATATTGCCCATGGAGGCAGAATATGGTCTCTGAGCAGCCCACAGGTACACTCTGTTGGCTCTTGGGCTGCACATTCATCATGACGCTATAAAAAACACAAAAACAGTCACTCGTTACATAAACTCCATAAACAGCACAAAGGTGACGATAGCTGACAGGATCCAAATTTATCTTTTTAAAAGATTAGGACTTTATTTACTGCTTATAGTGGAAAATTCTTGACATTGTCTCCTCATTACTCATAAACTATGTAAAATCATATCCCTAAAAATTAGTCACACACTAAAATGCCTCCTCACCATCGTGTGGCACCACACACAGTGTTTTCCCGTTAAGCCTTGGTAGCTCTTGATCTTCTTCTGGCATTTATCACACTTCCTAGAGTCACAGTTCCCATTCACCCAGTCATGTGCTGGAACCTGAAAAGCATTCAGACAGGATAATGTCTAATTTAGACTGTGAGTGTCACTGCAATTGTTGTCATGGAGACGGTGGCATACCCCTGTTTCTTTCTTTGACTTCACATACGTCCTGGTGCAGGGGGCCGGGTTCCTGTTGGCACAGCGCCCGTGGACTGTGTATTTGCAGCCTGCACAACAGGACACATAACCCAGCTGTCATATGATGTTTACATTAATATAAATTAGTCTTATCTAAAAAGGATCCTGCAATTCAGTTTCAGTGATGAATATCACTACAGCCCTCTTCTGGTGAGTTCAGGTACTCACAGGTGCAGCACAGTCCCTGCTTCCGCAGACCCAGCAGCATGCTCTGGCACACGTTGCAATAAACAGGCTTGTTGAAATGTTTCATCCTCCAAAGATGCTGCCCGTCCTTCTGGGTCATCTGGTTGTTCAAGGAGCAATCATAGAAGATGGCAATGCAACGAAAAAGAGAAAAACATCATGGTTTATGATCTTTGTTACTGTGCAAACTTATTCGCATTTTGAACAGAAAATGTTTGTAACAAAGAAAGCTTATATTCTTTGTTTCCTTTGTTAAATTTCGGATCAAACTACACAAACTCTTTCATAAACACACTGTGGGCGAGGGATGCATTTCACAGTTGTTTTTGACACCCACTCATGACTAACCTTGCCTTTGTGAGATTGCTGATTATGTAGTGGCTCTACATGCCATGACATACAGTGTAGCACCATGGATATTCAAGTCAACACTGACTATAATCTCAAATTCTCAATACAAGATTATAAGGTTGCTTTCAATCCGTTACAGACGGCCATCGCTCTTATCCAGATTACACTCTGAAGTGCTTTTATTCGACATGATGCATCAGCCTATCACTTGCTGCATGAGGCATTGCGGACAACCCGCGAAGCAGCACAGAGCAACTGTGAGGGGGCTGAATTCATGCACCACAGGCTTCAAATGTCCATTGGTGGCCAGAAATAGCCTGAGGGGAAGTCCCTGGCATTGTTGTAGAGGCTAAACCCAATGACAGAGACCATCTCATGGTTTTATACGGCCACAGTGATCGGGCAGACATGCAAGTCTAACAGTAAGTGGCTTTTATAACCCTGGAAACACATTAAACTTAAACAACACCCATAACACAAAGCTGATCTGTCCTTGATTTAAGACAACTATTTTTTATGTATACACCCAAAAATTTAATTATTAATTTCTTCAGTCAAGTATAGTGCATCAGCCTTAAGATTGCTATTTTATGCAAGCCCTTTGTTTATGTGCCCCAGATTGTGCAGAGTAAATGGAAAACACTAAAGCACTGTGATTGTGCAGAGCTTGCATGGGAGGAGATCACATTACCACACCCTGTAACACTGAGTCGGCAAAAAAGGCCCTTATAGATGGAGATGAGGCGAAGGACAGAGGAGGGGCTAGTAAGGCAAGGGTTTCACAAGACCACTAAAAGCAGGTTTTACCACTTTGTGAGACAACTGCTGTAAAAATGAAATACATATGAGGTAGGCTTTTGGTGGCCAACAGTTAATGAAAAGAGAAACATGCTGCTTTTAAAGTACCTTCAGACCCAACAAGACCAGCAAGGGAATGTTGTTCATCCCTCCCTCCACCCACTCCTCCAGAGACACTGTGCCGCTGCTGTCAGCATCAATTGCTGTCATCATATCCTTCAGCACCTGATGGAATGACATTTGATTGTTATTATGCTATCAGCACACACATTTTTATTTCTTAAAAAAGGCCATATGTTTTCTGAACTACATACACATATACATGGGAACTTGTTGATTCAACAGGTGCAGAGAAGCTTATCATTTTACCAACCCTAGCAAATGAGTAACAAGTACTGCCATATACTGTACGTAATGATGTAAAAGATCTTGTGCAAACAAATGTGTCTATCTATACGTTCATTCACTATAATATCACGGCTGAAAGTATAGTATATACTGGCTTTCATTTGTTTGCGGGACATTCTGGGACTTACCGGCCTCAGTTCTGACACATCCCATCCGAGGTATTCTGCAGCATGCATCATCTGAGCGATAATCCTATCCACTTCCTGTTTAAAAAGTAATGTTTTAGTAGAGTGTTTGGTATGACACAGTACTTTCAATAAATTAAAAGTACTGTGTCATAAAGATGGTATTCAACCTTGATTAAAATCTGTAGGACCCACAACTAAGCCAGAATATTTAATTTAGTCTCAAACCTAAAAGATTTTCTTAACAACTTACAGAGCTGTCGAGGACTCCGTTGCCATCTCTGTCATAGAGCTTGAAAGCAACTAAAGAGAAAGGGGAAAAGAAAGTGGAAGTGCTGAACCAAGTCATCACTCAATTTAATTTGGGCATAAAAGAAACAAAGGACTCACACTCCAGCTTGTCCCTGGGCTGGCCGTCCTCAAGCAGAGAGAAGTAACATGAAACATCCTTCAGAAAGACCTCCTCTACAGGAAAGATGGGGAAGAGAGAAAGAGAGATGGCTGTATATACTGCGGTTACCATATCTACACAATACAGTACCAAACAGGCATGTGGTGATAAATGAATGCATGCCAAATAGGCCATGTTGTAAATTAATAAGGGAATGCTGCAAAGTAGAGTGGAGACAGTGAGTTGTGTTAATACATGGTGTATATTCTCACTGGCACTGTCTTCCTGGGTGGGTTCAGAGTTTTGGAAGGAGCGGAAGAGTCGCTGGCAGAGATCCACAGGGAAGTCCTCCACTTCTAAATAAGTCTTCAGGAACAGACGAAAGCCTTCTTCATTGATACACTGGCAAAAAAATTAATGGGAGAGCCATATTAACTGTCTGTGTGTATGTGGTAGATCTTAACTTCTGCATTATTCAAATTCATCTCTACTGAAAATAAGGGAAGAAGACTTTAGCATCGTTGCCACTGTAAAAGCTTTCATGTAAGTGCATCCAGTGTGGGATGAAAGGTTTTCAAAAGCCCAAGATGTTTCTCAGAAACATTTAATCCATAATTTTTAGGTAAAGATATGACCTATAGTTGCAGGGTTTTTATGTGACAATGACATCAAACTAAAACTAAGCTCCTGATTCAAGATTTCATCCCATCTGTCTGGCCTAGTATCTGTCTTTTTCACATGATAATATGCTGCTGGGCTAACAAGCATTAGTCCCTCGATAATGGTGAACCACAAACCCATTTCTTGTTGACAGTATTCCATTTCCCTGGTTGATACCCTGCAGAGCCGCCCCAGTAATAAATAATGTCACCGCAAGGCAGCCAGATCACACAAAGAAAAGAAAAGGATAAAGGCAAACGAGAATGAGGCAGTGGAAACTGCATCATTATTCTGCACACTCCAACATTTACAAATAACTCTGTTCTGTGTATTTTAAAAACTATTACCTAATACTTTATAGCAGTATTTTTGTTTTATCCCAATAAAAACAACATTTCCTTCTAATTAAATTGTATGTAGCCAAATTATCCATCAGAAAAGACATTTGGCATTTGCTTCCTGCACAAATTAGTTGGCAGTCAGCCACTGATGTACAGTATTGGAAATGTCTTTTTTTCCAACACATTTCAGCTTACACTGCATGAGGGCAGCCAGCACACTATTGAGCAAGACCTTGCTGCGTGGCCAAAACCAAGGAGGTAATTTACATTTGCAAACTCGCTTGAATGCCCTGAAGATATTTCTCACGGACAGCTTAGTCAACATGATCGATAGGTTTGAATCTAATTAATCAGCATAGGAGAATAGGAGAATTAATAACTGCCCACTATACATCAATCATTTCTTACAAAACTGCTCCTCTGAGAGCTATTATTCAGTTCAATAAAGTCTTGAAGCTGACATCACTGTGAGTTTTGGAGTGAAGTGTGCCTAATGGTGAACAGCAGGACACTCTGTCCCCTTACCTCTCCATGCCTGTGCCGGGCCAGTCTGCCATCTGCATCAAATTCCCTCAGCACATCTTTCACCTTCAAGCTGCAATCTGGAAGCAAAGACACACAGGTCACACAGGGATACACATGTACATCTGTGCGAGGAGGGTAGCTCTCAAACAGGGGATTTTTCATATATAACTCTATTGAATGTAACTATTATCAATCAACATCTCTGAAATATCATGTACACATCCGATTACACAATTTATCTGGAAAAAAGACAAAAGATGTGCATGCTTTATTTGATAAAAAACAGAATGTGGCCAACTTCTACCTCCTAGACATGAGAAACCATGAGCAAGTGAGTGTAAATGAGTGTGTGTGTGGGTGGAAGTGGAAGTGGAGGGGGGGTGTAAAAGCGCTGAGAAAGCTGCCTGCCTGTTTGTCTGTACTCACATTCAATGTACTGCTGTAGCTGGATAAAGTCGACAGGGCTCAGTTCCTTCACCTCTGGGTTTGTGGGGGTGGACATGGTGCCTGCTTCTGCACTAACTGCCTGCCTGTGCACAAGCGAGAGAAACAGTGAGATATAGACGGAGAGAATAGAGAAGGTGGGTGCACAGTAGCCTGCCTCTTTGTAAACATAAAAGCATGACTGCAAGCAAAAGATAGCATCTCGTACTGTAAAAAATCCATGATTGTAGACAGGGAGATTTACACTCAACATCCAAAGTTATAGTGAAGCAGAAACAAGTTAAGTTATTGTATGATGCTCTGAAGTGCAGTTTTGATGCCAAACATGAACAATTTTGTGTACTCATGTCTATATACTGCATTTATTCTATATCTCTCAGAAAAATGTGACTAGCCACTCAAACTGGGCCAAAAGTCTGGTAGAAATTATGTCAGGCTAAAGGTACCCATGGTACTTCGACTCTAGGGATTCTCTGAACCCAATATCTCTTTCCATATACTCACTGGCCCATATTTGATTTTTAAATTCCATATATATATATATATATATTGGCAATGTTAGATTAAGTTTAGCACAAACGAGCACAACGAAGGTTTGAAATGCTAACATACACAAAATCTTGTGGAGAGGTCAAAAAAAACAAGGGGCAACCCCGGCAAGCAAAAGGAAGAGACTTAAATGTCAAACATGGCTGAAAGTGAGTATGAAATTTGAATCTGACACAGAAAACAAGGTTTTAAGCATGTCGTTCTGAGGTTGAAAGCATGAAGTCTAGATGAACATTTGGTGAATCAGAAGCAAACATGCTGTTAAAGCAACATGGAAGGGGATTCCTGAATGATGGGAAAATAAACTCACAAATGTGAAGTCCATTAATCATTGAAGAAAGAGGAGAACTTAGTTAATGGAAGGGAGAAAGCTGACATCCTGTTAAACATTGATGTTGCAGATGCATGTCATTAAAATGTTGCTATAAGAAATATAGGGATGGATCAATACAGAATTTATAGAATGCCTAATGCAGTTGATAATAAATATGAAAAGCATTAGCCAAGAGATCTTTCCCGGCAGGTCTGTCACAATAAGCATTGATGCATTCCTTTCTTGCTAAAAAGAGCATTTAAGAGCAAGGCCATGTAATATTCTTGTGTAACTGACCGGTTTACTGATTTAATGACTCTTCTCTACTAGTTACACCTCTGCCTTTTACACTATATTTTACTATTCACCATTATCCTGTAACCATCACTTGTTAATAGTTGCAAATAACAGAATACTTTGCAATCCATGTTGTAGAGTTCAATATTTTTTGAAAGCATTCATCTTGAAATGTGTCTGAGTTGTCTAATCTATCACAGCAAACTGCATTAGGGTTTGTCTAATTTACATTACCATTAGGAGGTAATGCAGTGGAGACTATCCATCTAAACTTCACCTGCAGTACCATGCACAGATAATGGACCTTTGAAAACAATATATACAATCTTTTGACAGTGCTGTTGAGAGTGCACAAGTCAAGAAAGTTTAAATAGTCTGCTAATTAATTTAAATACTGAACAGAAACTAATGGCAACGGAAGGCTGGAACGCAAAGTAGGAAGTCAGCTTCAGGATGATGCATTTTACAGCATGCTTTGGAAAATGGTCGGTAGTAATGGTGTGTACTAAAGGAGCTAAAACAAACTAAATAAAGCACAGTAATGGTCCTTTAAGAGCAGCTTGTTGGCTTAAAACTAGGTATCCATTAGTAATTCCGGTATTTCCCCACATAACAATGGGGTTGCTATGAAAGGTATTACATGGGGAAATTGTTTTAAATAGAATAAGATAAATATACTGAACCTGGTGTAACAGTTTTGAAGAGTTAAATAAACACACATAGGCTACTGAAAAATTATATCATGTCTGATACTGAGACAATCAGGCTGACGAACAGGGTCTCACTGTAAATGCGGTGTTCACATTGTTGTCCACAGGTGCTATCACACATTAAAGTGCAACCAGTCCAGGTATCACTGACAGCTGCACGCACTGAACAGAAAATCAGAGTAGTTGACATTATCTGAAATAACATCCACTCTTTACGTGTGATTTAGATCCATTTGCTGTCTTTAGACTCTGAAAGGTCCACGCTGTCCCCACTTAATTCTCTCAAAAGGTCAGCAGCTTTGCCTAGCAGTTCTGTTTATGCAGCCAACCAGGTGGGCCAAGTCTGTATCGACAGCAAAGTAACACATGAAGGAATCATGAAAAGCCATCCGCTACTGTAAAAATATTCTCCTGACTGTCTTATGTGTAAACTCAAAATAGTCTCCTGATGTTTGATCGCACATAAAGCACACAGCTTATTTTAGACTGTTGGTTTTCCTTTCCTGTTTTTATGCTTTTCAGTAGAGCATGATGTCACGAACAGCATCATGTCTATTTTGTCTCCTTACCAGCTGAGTATCATCATCATTATTGTCTGGTTTAACGCAATCTCAAGCCTATCTCAGTAATCTGATTCCTCACTTCCTGATTAGATAATGATTTGCATGCATGATACAGAGTGGGAATCAGGAGCAGTCAGAAAACTGAGCACAGGAAGAGGCATTCCTTACACTTAGAGGAGAAAACATGAATAGTGTAATACATACCGAGCCAGTTGCCTCCACTCTCATACTGTACATGGAATAGACTTTAAAAAAAACAATGGCACCACCTAAATGAGCCAGTTTAAATATTTCAGGAGGTTTAAGGAATGTCTGAGGCTTGTCAAGACTTATTACAGACCATGTGACTTCTGGGCTGGCTCTCAATAAGGTTACATTGCTGGGCTAAAGTTAAATGGTAGATTCTTTACGAGGGAAATGTTTATGTTGCTTTATAGAAACATTTAAGTGGTAGAGAATCTGTTGTGTAGACATGAGAAAGATTTAAATACGTCATATAGCCATCATTTGGTGTGATTTATTTTGGTTCGCTCTACTGACAGTCTGAATTATAATTCTTTTTGAACAAAATGTCGCTCCATGTACTCAGTACAGAATAAATGGTGCAGCACATGTTCTGCCACAGCCTCTGCTATGCGGAGCCACTAGTGCTTCTTCAAATAGCTGTAAAGAACAATTTAAATGTTAAAGTGGTTCTTCAAGTAGTAACAGCTTATGAAAGCAACATCTACTCCCCCATAAACCTCTGTTACGAGCCTGATACTCGCCTTTACTTCTGACCACTCAACTGAAAAACACCAAAGCAAATGCTTTGTAAACATTCATACAGTGAAATAATTGGAGACAGCGGGCAGTTTAGTTGCCATTTTCCCTCACGCGTGCCATACGTTTAATTATGAACCCTTAATGTCTCGTTGTAAAACTGTCAACAACCGTAAAGCACTCTCTTTACATGAATCATTTCAAGGTACACTTGGGGATGACCTTTTTCCATGTAGGCTAATGTTTGTGCAAGCTGTCATGACGCCCACGCCTAGCGTCAAGGAAATCTGCTGTTTTGAAACACTTGCAGGGTGCAAGCCATTGACTCCGTCATTCTGTGGTTGGAAAACACTGCGTAGGTTCCTAGTACAGAGAGAGAAGTCTCATCTAATGTTGAGTATTTGCTTTCCTCCTGAAACTACAACAATTGAAGTGTGTGAGCATATTGCACCAGGTTAACAGAAGAGGGAGGACTGACATGCTTGGTTGCTATGGAAAGTGTTTCCCTTCATCAGCTGCTCACTGTCAGTGCACTGCCATGGGTGACTAGTAGGTAGGAGGGAGGCAGTCAGCTCAGGAAAGGGGGAGCCCGGTCAGTAGCTGTGAGTCTTCCCCCTGCAGCTCCACTTCCTCCCACACCATGAGCATAGTTTGGCCTTCACCAGAGGCCACGCTCTCTGCATTCTACATGCAGATGCTACTGTGACTCATTGCATGAACGGGGAATACGCCTTTCCTAAAAATGGACTGTTTGCTCAAGGGGTCATAGACAGGACAAGCCTGAAGATATCACCTTTAAACTAAAAGAGCGTAAGCCAGTCATTTAAACAAGTTAGATAGGGTCCAAAGTTCCTATCCAGAATCACTGAGATGTAAGGTGACAGCTTTCCCACAAGGACTTTAAATAAGATAAGATAAACAAATACCAATGTTTATTACACCTCTATGCCAGAAAAGACCAACCCAATGTATCATCTAGGATACAATGCTGAATAACATAGCTATCACTGGCGATATCTGATCTGAGGGCAGAATGATAGACCGTGTCCATGGGTCCAAGAGTGGAAGGAGCAGCATTTCTCTTAGTTACTTAGCAAAATCCAACTACCTCAACAATCCTCTTTCTACTGATCATAGGGAAGCTGGTTCTGTTTCTGTACTGTTGACGCAGTTTCTCATCAAGATGTCAAGATATTTATATTCAGTAACTCTCTCAATGTTGTTTACATTCACAGTGGATTTATGCATACTATTATAATCAATATCTCTGGTAAGCAGCATAAATTTTGTTTTATTTGCGCTAAGTACCAGTTCAAGATTAATAAGAGCATCTTGTAGAGTTCTCAATTGCTAGTTGTACAGAATCAACAATACAGTGTCCTCAACATAAAGATGGACTTTACAGCCAGTCAGTGAAGAGACAATATCATTCATATAAATGGTGAATAGGACAGGGTCTAAAATTGAGACTTTTGTAACTTACAAGAACTCAGATACTCCATAACTTCACACACTGAAGTCTCTCAAACAAATAATTCTGGAACGAATCACAAGCTTTATCAACGGCAATATTTCATAAATTTTGTATGAGCAAAGGATAGTCAACTATATCAAATGCTTTTAAAAGATCTATTAAATGGGCAGCACAATGTTTCTTATTGTCTAAAGTGGATACCATATTATCTGTAACTAATGTAATAACTGAAATAATGCTATGATTAGCTGTAAGCTGCCAGACTTCATACAGAGTGACTTGAAAGAAACACCTTGAGTTGGTTAACCAAAGATTCCAGGACTACAAACCAGGGTTACAAACAAGCAGTAATATTTCCCCTAATTAGCTTCACTTTTTCACATATTTGTATTCCTAGAGCTACAGCTCATAACTACTACTCCCCCTGGTTGTTTTACATCTTCACTTTCGTTGAGTATAGTACATTTCGCTGTACTATGTACTGGCATGTGTTGTTGACTCTACTGAAAGCACAAAGACTTAGATTTAGCTGATTTTAAAATATGTATTTATGTTACGCATGCTAAGGTCTGGCTGACATAACATTTATCAATTTAATATAACTGAAATTATGCAAAAACAAGGGTCAAAATGAATGGCATGATCACGGCTGAGCATGCTCTATTAAAAAGGGGCTTCCCTGTTGTCTACAACATTGTTTGAAGAATTGAGAGGTATGCAAACCACAGCAGAAACACTAGAGAACTTGAACACAGTAAACATGGATTATAAATCAGCCAAAAATGCTAAAGAAAAACCCCCACAAGACATTCACCACAGCATGAATCACAGATTTCTTGGAAAATGTAGGCGGGATTTGCTCATTCTCTAGCTTCAAAGTGAGGACTGCCCATCACTCTGAGTTCAGACACGAATGTGACTTATATAATAGCTTCTTTTGTGGAGGCTGCCTTGTAGAAAACCCTGCTGCCATCAGGAAAGAAAAACCTCAGACCTGCCCAGACTTGTGCATGCTGTCTTACAACAACCACATTGCTTTTAAGTGTTGGCACGTATCAGGGAGTCTCCCTGCTTCGTCCACAGCTGAAAATGAAACATTAAATGTCACATTTTCAAATGATTCCATCTGAAATGCAAGCATGTAGTAGTCTCCACTATCATGTCAGTAATTAATGCATCCAAGGTCTTCAGAACAAACTAAACTATATCTGATACCGTGTGATTTATTTTTTCTAAATGTGAATGGATCAGCCTAACTGGGAAAGAATAAGAGATGTTGTAAGTTATAGCATTTGAGACTAAATCACATCTATGACATGATAATAACGTACTGGGGTTAAAGTTATAGTAATTATTACAGGATTCAGGCAAACACTGGTATCATGAAGGAAGTGAAGACTAAATGAAACAACTACTGTTTTTAAAGAAGTGAAACAGTCTTTAAACAAAAGGCCTTCAGGCCATTTCTCTCTCTCTAAGTTATAACTATACGTCATATAGAAACAGCTAACATTTATAAACTAAACCACAGATCAGAAAGTGGGAGCAATTCTAGTTTATTTAAAGCCTCTAGCCTCTGATGTAAACGTCAACAATGGCACAATTGACCTGGCTACAGTATTGATTGTCTGTGCCTGAAAACTCTCTTGCAGCTAGAAACAGTTGAATACCTGCTCGTAATGAACACACAGCTCGACCAGGAAAGTGTAACCTAGAAAGAAACTGAGGTCAGGCAAAGAAACACAGACCTGGCAAAGTATCCTTTCTTGGATGTTTTGTTTTACCAGTTAGCACGGGAGCTGAAAGTCACATTCTTCATTTGCAGTCAAATGACAGTGAAAGGGGAGCTTTGAATAAACAATGACGACACAGCAGTGACAGAGCCCACCAATGCCCACCATCATCTACTTCACTAAGGGGGGGCTTTTGCTATCCTAACAACTAACAAAAACACAGAGAAACCCCTCTGTGGTGTTTTAGATCTATTTGAGGTTTCACTCTCCTTGCTGGTATAGCACCATATCCTGCAAAAAACAGATGGGGTTCACTCAGGTAAGACAAGAAGCAACATAAACAAAAACACTGTAAACCTGTTTGCTCAGTGTACTAGGGACATATCAAGTTGTTGAGTTTGTTGTCAAGTTTAATTAAAACATATAGAGGAGGTTGAGTCATGACACCCTAAATACTGCAAACACCACTAAATCCTCACCAGTCTCCACTCTGAAAGATGAATTGCTCAGTTCTGTAAATAGACTGCGAGAAGCCCACCCTCGCAGTTAATTTAAGCAGGCTGACATGAACAATTATGACACACTGCAAAGGGAAGTAAAATTCTGCATTTTTATGAGATTAGAAAGGAAAGCAGCGGGGCTGTGTATTACAATACCCTGCCACTGCCCTGCTGTTGCTCGGTTACGAAGAGACGACTATCTGTTAAGCTCTCTCTAAAAATATGACATGCACAGACCTGTAGTTCGTCAATTACCAGATGCACCTCCCTGGGATTTCACATGACATTCATAAGCGCAAAAACAACAAAGCTAAAATGATCGCCTGGTATTTGACTGTCGTTTATTTGCAGCTAAAAGGCGTTTGGAGCTGCACTGAAACTTCAATCAGACCGCAGTCCGGACCTCTTACTGTGAGTCATTTACCTTTACTGTCCACTCCGCTGTTAGTCTTTATTGAAATCTTCGTGGTGCAGCTCAGCAGCGGTGAGAAATCCTGCGTTGAGCTGCGAAGCAAAGTGGCTGTTAACTTTCAACGGAGGTTGCGAGTTAGCGGAGTGGAAGCAGCGAACTAATGCAGAGCAGAGGGTGAGCGGATCCCTCCTGACACAAGCACCGCCTTGCTGCTCTGCGCCGTTTCTGCTAACCAATACACACCCGGTACACCACACCAGATCCATCTGCAAAGTTGTAAAGTATGGCTCATTTAAATTCTGCAGCTGTAACCTGCAACAGTGCAATTATCATTCGGCTCTCTTAAAAGACATCAGTGCAGTACGTTACTATAGGTGGCATTTTTCTGAGCAATATTCCTTTGACTGCCAAACATTAACATTAGGCTATTTATATTGAGTCTTAAAGTGTATTTGGTTAAAGTAGTAACTTAACTGAAATGTATGCTATATGAGTAAAAAAATAACTTTGTTTCTTGTATTATCTATGTTCTATAGGCTAAACAAGGCTATAGGCTATTATAATATAATAACATGCCACAACTTAATAAAATATGAATGTTATAGTAAAATATAGGCCTATTGAAAAATAAACAATTAAATTACACCACCACCACACAGAACCTTACAAATTAGATTATTATTAATCTAACTCGTTTGAGCCAAAATTAAACAATAATGACATTTTGTCAATAAGACAAAATGTTCTTGAAGTTTAGCAATAGTTGTAGAACCAGTTGGTCAGACTTGTCAGAGGACACTTTTTCCATATCTGTACGTATCTGGCGTAGACATATTTTTCAGTTTACAGCTTCCATAATAACAGACACATAAAATATACATTGATAGCCTAATATATGAAGGAGTGGTTGCCCAGTTAACTATGTAAACCGGTAAAATATTATTATGATTGAAGTTGTGAGGCATATTGCTCATTGATTTAGAAGGTGATTAATCTGTGGAACTGTTTGTCAGCCAATCAGAAGTATTTTAACTATCTTATCTTGCAGCACTAACAGGGAGTGGAGGAATGTAACAAAGGAGTTTTAAAATAAGTTCCACCTTGACAAGAGTAAAATGGTAATTACACATTAAAGCATCAACATATATATATATACACACACACACACATATATATATATATGTGTGTGTGTGTGTGTGTGTGTGTGTATATGTCCTCCACCACTGCATACAAGCCTCAAGTATTTGTGCTGTACATTTTATGATACTTTTTGTAAGAAACAGATCTACAGATCTGAATACTTCCACCACCACTGCACACAGGCTCTTTCTCTCTTTTAAGTATTTGAGCTTTATATAAATGTGTATGTAACATATTGTTTAGTATGGGGACTGCTTTAAGCCTTATAGAAACCAACCACATCACACAACATTGTGTAGACAATAACAAAGCCACAGTATTTGGTAAAGCACATGATTTCACATTCCTCTGACCACAATGGTGAGGGATTAGACTCCACAATGAGGACAAGGTTGGCAAGAGAGGATAACAGACATGGAAAACATGTGGGTGTCTGAGTTAGACAGGGGAAAAGGCAAGTGAGTCAGGTCACAGCAGTCAGACCTCACTTTGAGTTTTATGGTTAAACTTTCCTGTTCATTTTCTTAACCTGAACAAACAGCAATTCACATCCCACATCTCCTCACTGCCTAAAAGCACCAATAATTTCCTCTACACTGATGTTTTTACATAATGTCTTTAGCCAATGTGACGTTAAATAATGTACACCTCTGCGGGTCTCTGATGACATAGTGTGGTAAAACAAGGAACTGCATTTTTTTTCTAATTAAGATGCTATAAAATCTTGCTATCCCAATGAGAAAATACATTATTTTGGGATGAAGTTGTAAATTTTTTTATTACTTTCTTGTCAGACACAAAACAAATAAAAACATTAACAGGGAAAATAATAAAGGGCACAATCCAAACTTATCTGTTTACTGCACTTATGTGGGCTTTTATACGGGACAGCTGAAGTCTTGTTTGTTTTACTACAGCAATAAGTGACTAATGGTGAAGCTTTTTGCCTCTCAAAAACCATGAGTGGCGTTACAAATATTTTTACAATCTCAAAGCTATGGTTTTGCGTGACATGTCAGTGAAGAGATGTTTGCTAACTGTGAAGAATGGGAAAATCAATGTCTATATTTCAATCATCAGAAAAGACATTGATTTTAGAAGAATATCAAGTGAACCATTATGATTTGTCAAATAAAACTCATACATAGTTGAATCCCAAATGTTAAACTTCAAATTTAACACATCACCAGGAGCCAACATTCAGACTAGATACATACAACTCAGGCAACAAAGATCAAAAAATCAATTTTCTTCCTGCAATGAACTTCAAATGCACCGAAAAAGGCAGATTTCCATACATCAAACAGTAACATCTTCAAGCATGTTTGTGTAAAGGCAACACAATAAATAAAATAAATGGCACAGAAGGTTTAGACAATCTAAACTGAGAAGCACAATGTCTTATGAAATATTCACAGGAAACTAAATACTAAAGCAAGCACGCGAAAAATCTCCGTCCCTGCAGACAATAACACAGGCTGACAAAACAGAACTGAAATAAACAAAAATCACAATATAATTACAGTGAGAAGAATAAGAGAATGACATTTATAATTCAATATAGTATTTGTATTTACAAGCATTTATACAACAGAGGACATTAAACGGGGGTTCAAGCTTATTACTATTAGGACATGGAGCAGAACAATCAGATCATATAATGCACCAAATATAAACCTTGTAAACATCACATCTCACCTTTTATCTCAGATATCAGTCAGATTAAGTTTTTATTTGACAGGTTCATTATTATATGTGTCCTTATTTTAAGGCATAGGTATCAAGCTTAGGAGTGAGCCTATTTTAAGGTTTTATTTTAAATAAGCCAGATTTACTCACCCTAGTGAGAAAAAACCTACTCATTACAGCAAACCCCCAAGCAAAACATCCCCACTTGTCTCTGGATCAGCTCCTCTAGCTGTACAGTTATAAGATCTCCTCCACTCCGTGCGCAAAGATCATGACCAGGCCGGGCTCCAGAATCATATCCTCCCCCATATGCTGATTCTCACAGGCCATCACCACTACTGCCTGCTTGCCAGGGATACGCTTGGCAACGTAGTTCTCATAGTAGCGCCTGTTCATCTGCCGTGTCTCAAGCGTGGCCAGTCCCTGCGGCCAGTTACGCTCGTGGGCGTTCTCGATCAGGTCGTTCACAATTGAGAGCGGACAGCCGCTGTCGATGAGGGAGCGTTTAATGACCGCCTGTAGTACAGCGTCAGGAGTGGAGATCATACCACCCCAGCGTGTCACTCTGGCAGGCTGCATTGAGTTCACCCACCTGAGAAAAGATACAGTGAAACACACAAGAAAATTAGGGACTGAGCAGCAGCTCCCTGACAAAGTAAATATTAGAATACCAAGCAGGAGGGTGACACTTCACTTACTCCAAGATCTCATTGTACTCGATGCTCTCCTCAAGGTTTTGCAGGTTAGGGTTAGCACTGCGGATCGCTCTCATGTAGGCTTTTAGCAGCTGAATGTCCCGTTTCTGGAAATTAAATGAGTCCTCCTCAGTGACAGATTTCACAAAATCTAGGATTTTTGACCATTACTGATCCTCAATTATTTAAGCTTAGTCATATTCTGATCAAACTATTAATAATATATATTGTAACAGCAGTGTCTTACAGGTTTAAGTGATAATTCTAAATCATCTTCTTCTCCTTCTTTATATAACTGTTTCATGTCCAAACGACCACACACAACATTAGATTTCAAACACTTGATTGTGTTCAACTAAGGTGCTACAAATATAAAAAATAAAAATACCCAACGGAGTGAACTTAAGTTTAACTTTAACTACGTTTTATCAATACCACTCTTAAAAATATGTTCATCACTAAATCAATAAAGTACACAATGCCAAACAGAAACAGGACATACACAAATCTAACAATCAATACAGAGACATGCATCCAAACCATCCTGGACCACAAACATTCCACAAAACAATAATTATAATCTGTAGCCAAATGTTTTGAGCACTTTAGAACCCAGATCCCAAAAAGAATTTTAGAAACTGAATTTGAGTAAATTATAATAACAACTTAATAAAATACTATGTCAATATAAAGTGGTTGTTCTGGAAAAGAAATGCTCTTGACCATTTCTAAACCTGTTCCACCAACATTTGTAAACAATATTTTTGAGGTGGCTCAAAGTATTTTAGGCTAATATATCAACAAGCAGGCAAATGTTCTTACTTGTTCACCCAACTGGTGTTTATGCTCTGCCACATTTTTCTCCAGCTCTGAAATCTTTGTCTGTTGCTGCTGGACGACGCTGCGCAAGTGTTTGATGCAGTTATGGTTGGGTACCTCATCTTTGGGCATCTCAAGCCTGCAAGTGTGGGTGAGGTAGAATAACAGAATAGAAAATAGGGTATTTAATACCCTACCATAGAGAGAACAGCTCATTCATTTTTGCAAAACCATACATGTTTAATGTTTTGCACATTTTGATTTTAATTGTGATTATTATATTTATTGTTGTGTTTGCTACACCTGTCACTTGATAATTGTGAAGCTCAGACTGCCGTGTAAATTTTCTGTCAAATGGATGCCACTCACCCACATCCCTCTTCACAGTTGACAGGCCTTTTGGGGTTGTGCTCACAGTCCTTGAGGTGTGACTGAAGCTGGTCCAGCCGTAGTGTGGCTGTACAGCCAAAACCTGCATTGTCACAGCAAATCTGAAGTTTGGACAGCATGTTGCGCATGATGCGGGGCACAGGCCGAAGGTGAGCTAGCGTTACTACCGTGCGATCAACTGGACAGATCTGTTGCTGGGCAAACCACTGTGTAATACAGGCATTGCAGAAGGCATGCTCACAGTGTGGAGCCTGAAATGAAAATGAGTCCAAAACATGAAACATTTGAAAAATGCAGATACAATTAAGAGTGGGTAATCTTTCAGACATGAACTTGCCTGCACTGGTTCTTCGAGCACTCCACTACATATAGGGCACAGCAGGTCTTCATCCACCTCCCCTTGGAACCTCATAACGTCGTACCCCATGATACATTACTGGG